TCTTTAAAAAATCCACGTTTAGAGATCTCAAAATATTTTTGAAAAATTCTTTAAAAAATCCACGTTTAGAGATCTCAAAATATTTTTGAAAAATTCTTTAAAAAATCCACGTTTAGAGATCTCAAAATATTTTTGAAAAATTCTTTAAAAAATCCACGTTTAGAGATCTCAAAATATTTTTGAAAAATTCTTTAAAAAATCCACGTTTAGAGATCTCAAAATATTTTTGAAAAATTCTTTAAAAAATCCACGTTTAGAGATCTCAAAATATTTTTGAAAAATTCTTTAAAAAATCCACGTTTAGAGATCTCAAAATATTTTTGAAAAATTCTTTAAAAAATCCACGTTTAGAGATCTCAAAATATTTTTGAAAAATTCTTTAAAAAATCCACGTTTAGAGATCTCAAAATATTTTTGAAAAATTCTTTAAAAAATCCACGTTTAGAGATCTCAAAATATTTTTGAAAAATTCTTTAAAAAATCCACGTTTAGAGATCTCAAAATATTTTTGAAAAATTCTTTAAAAAATCCACGTTTTGAGGCCTTGAAATATTTTTAAAAAATTATTTAAAAAATCCACGTTTTGGGCTCTTGGGGTTATTTTTAAAAAATTCTTTAAAAATCCACGTTTTGAGGCCTTGAAATATTTTTAAAAAATCATTAAAAAATCCACGTTTTGAGGTCCTGAAATATTTTAAAAAAATTATTTAAAAAATCCACGTTTTGAGGCCCTGAAATATTTTTAAAAAATTATTTAAAAAATCCACGTTTTGGGGCATTGAAATATTTTTAAACAATTCTTTAAAAAATACATGTTCAAAAGCCTCAATAATTTTTAAAAAATTTCTTTAAAAATCCACCTTTTGGAGCATTGAAATATTTTTAAAAACAATCTTTAAAAAAATCACATTTAAAAGCCTTGAAATATTTTTAAAAAAAATCCTTAAAAATCCACGTTCTGGGGCATTGAAATATTTTTAAAAAAATCTTTAAAAAAATCACGTTTAAAAGCCTTGAAATATTTTTAAAAAAAATCTTTAAAAAAATCACTTTTAAAAGCCTTGAAATATTTTTAAAAAAAAATCTTTAAAATATCCACGTTTTGGGGCCCTGAAATATTTTTAAAAAATCCACGTTTTGGGGCCCTGAAATATTTTTAAAAAATCCACTTTTTGGGGCTTTGAAATATTTTTGAAAATTTATTTAAAAAATCCACGTTTTGGGGCCTTGAGATATTTTTAAAAAATTATTTAAAAAATCCACGTTTTAGGGCCCTGAAATATTTTTAAAAAATTCTTCAATATATCCACGTTTTGGGACCTTTAAAAACTTTCCAAAAATCAAAAAAAAAATTAAAAATTTTCCCTCCACGCCTCTGCTTGAAACCATTACGTCCAAATACAGGTTAATTTTGTTAAGCCTTTTAATAATATTTTTTATAAATATTTTTTATAAAAAACCTAAAAATTATTTTTCAAAATTAAAAATATTTTTTTTTTGTAAAATTTATTTGCCTATTGCAAACTGTTTTTTGTTAAAAAAATATAACCTTGCAAAAAAAATTCTGAAATATATATTTGTTGGATATTTAAAAAAACCCTCATACTATAACCCACACATACACACATCCATACATATCCCTTATAAAATAAGATCTCCCCCATAAAAAACCCAAAAAAAATGTCCACGGACCATACCCCTATACAACAACAAAAACAACCAAATAAAATCAAATGGAACGCCACTGGACAGAAAAATCGAAAATGGAGGGTATCCTCTGTTCGAATGCAAAACGAAAATGGTATTGTGTTGAAAATCTATGAATTGAAATATTTTTAAACCATAAAAAATGAATAAAATTTCAAAACTAAAAAAGGCGATTACAAATTATGATTATATCCATATATAAGAGAGTAAACTGTTATAAACTGTGTAATTATATTGTAAAAATAAATTGAAGAAAAAATTGAAACTATGAAAAAAAAAAAAAAACCTAAATATCCAAAACTAGAGGAAATAAACTAAAACGTAACGAAAACATGATATTATACTCAAAATCTTTATATAAATAAAAACTATTCTAGAAAACGATTCATTGAGTAAATAAAATAGTATTAATAAAATAAAAAACCTCAATTTTTTGCCATTGTCATAAAGTGTTATACAGGTAAAAGAAATATTAAATTCAGAGCATACCTTAAGGCGCCATGTGAACAACAATGTCCATTAAAAATCAACGATTGTCTTTTGGGCTTGGAAAAAATATTTTTAAAAAATCCACGTTTATAGGTGACCCACGAAAAAATATTTTTAAAACATCCACGTTTATAGGTGACCCATGAAAAAAATATTTTTAAAAAATCCACGTTTATTGGTGACCCTTGAAAAAATATTTTTAAAAAATCCACGTTTATATGTGACCCATGAAAAAATATTTTTAAAAAATCCACGTTTATAGGTGACCCATGAAAAAAATATTTTTAAAAAATCCACGTTTATTGGTGACCCTTGAAAAAATATTTTTAAAAAATCCACGTTTATATGTGACCCATGAAAAAATATTTTTAAAAAATCCACGTTTATAGGTGACCCACGAAAAAATATTTTTAAAACATCCACGTTTATTGGTGACCCTTGAAAAAATATTTTTAAAAAATCCACGTTTATATGTGACCCATGAAAAAATATTTTTAAAAAATCCACGTTTATAGGTGACCCATGAAAAAAATATTTTTAAAAAATCCACGTTTATAGGTGACCCATGAAAAAAATATTTTTAAAAAATCCACGTTTATAGGTGACCCATGAAAAAAATATTTTAAAAAAATCCACGTTTATAGGTGACCCATGAAAAAAATATTTTAAAAAAATCCACGTTTATAGGTGACCCATGAAAAAAATATTTTTAAAAAATCCACGTTTATAAGTGACCCATGAAAAAAATATTTTTAAAAAATCCACGTTTATAAGTGACCCATGAAAAAATAATTTTAAAAAATCCACGTTTATAGGTGACCCATGAAAAAAATATTTTAAAAAAATCCACGTTTATAGGTGACCCATGAAAAAAATATTTTTAAAAAATCCACGTTTATAAGTGACCTATGAAAAAAATATTTTTAAAAAATCCACGTTTATAAGTGACCCATGAAAAAATAATTTTAAAAAATCCACGTTTATAGGTGACCCATGAAAAAAATATTTTAAAAAAATCCACGTTTATAGGTGACCCATGAAAAAATAATTTTAAAAAATCCACGTTTGTAGGTGACCCATGAAAAAATAATTTTAAAAAATCCACGTTTATAGGTGACCCATGAAAAAATTATTTTAAAAAATCCACGTTTATAGGTGACCCGTTTATAGGTGACCCATGAAAAAATATTTTTAAAAAATCCACGATTATAGGTGACCCATGAAAAAATATTTTTAAAAAAGGAAATTGAAAAAATATTTTTAAAAAATCCACGTTTGCTAAAGGAACTTGAAAAATATTTTTAAAAAATCCACGTTTGCTAAAGGAACTTGAAAAATATTTTTAAAAAATCCACGTTTGCTAAAGGAACTTGAAAAAATATTTTTAAAAAATCCACGTTTGCTAAAGGAACTTGAAAAAATATTTTAAAAAATCCACGTTTGCTAAAGGAACTTGAAAAAATATTTTTAAAAAATCCACGTTTATTTAAGGAACTTGAAAAAATATTTTTAAAAAATCCACGTTTATTTAAGGAACTTGAAAAAATATTTTTAAAAAATCCACGTTTGCTAAAGGAACTTGAAAAAATATTTTTAAAAAATCCACGTTTGCTAAAGGAACTTGAAAAAATATTTTAAAAAATCCACGTTTGCTAAAGGAACTTGAAAAAATATTTTTAAAAAATCCACGTTTATTTAAGGAACTTGAAAAAATATTTTTAAAAAATCCACGTTTATTTAAGGAACTTGAAAAAATATTTTTAAAAAATCCACGTTTATTTAAGGAACTTGAAAAAATATTTTTAAAAAATCCACGTTTATTTAAGGAACTTGAAAAAATATTTTTAAAAAATCCACGTTTATTTAAGGAACTTGAAAAAATATTTTTAAAAAATCCACGTTTATTTAAGGAACTTGAAAAAATATTTTTAAAAAATCCACGTTTATTTAAGGAACTTGAAAAAATCTTTTTAAAAAATCCACGTTTATTTAAGGAACTTGAAAAAATATTTTTAAAAAATCCACGTTTATTTAAGGAACTTGAAAAAATATTTTTAAAAAATCCACGTTTATTTAAGGAACTTGAAAAAATATTTTTAAAAAATCCACGTTTATTTAAGGAACTTGAAAAAATATTTTTAAAAAATCCACGTTTATTTAAGGAACTTGAAAAAATATTTTTAAAAAATCCACGTTTATTTAAGGAACTTGAAAAAATATTTTTAAAAAATCCACGTTTATTTAAGGAACTTGAAAAAATATTTTTAAAAAATCCACGTTTATTTAAGGAACTTGAAAAAATATTTTTAAAAAATCCACGTTTATTTAAGGAACTTGAAAAAATATTTTTAAAAAATCCACGTTTATTTAAGGAACTTGAAAAAATATTTTTAAAAAATTCACGTTTATGTAAGGAACTTGAAAAAATATTTTTAAAAAATCCACGTTTATTGTATGGCCTTGAAAAAATATTTTAAAAAAATCCACGTTTATTGATGACCCATGGAAAAATATTTTTAAAAAATCCACGTTTATTGGTGACCCATGAAAAAATATTTTTTAAAAAATTCACGTTTATTATTGGTGACCCATGGAAAAATGTTTTTTAAAAAATCAACGTTTAGTGTTAGGCCTTGAAAGAATATTTTTAAAAAATCCACGTTTGTTGGTGACCCTTGAAAAAATATTTTATTTTTAAAAAAATACATTTTTCTTTAAAAAATGTTTTTTCAAATTAATTAAAAAAAACTCACAAATTTTATTTTTTTTAAATATTTTTATTTTTTTATTATTATCTTTTTTTATGTTTTTTTTTTTCATACAAAAATTAATCTCATATTCGATTTCAATGCTCTTGCGTCATCATTATCATAATTGCTTGCTTACTGACTAGTTATAAATGAAATAAAAAAAACAATAATTTTATAGAAAACAAAATAGATTTTTAAACAAATTATTCAAAATTAAAAAATTAGAAATTCGTAGAAAAAAACATAAAAAAACATTATATGGCATTTAATTAAAATTAAAATTATGGGAGAGTGGGGGGAGGTGTCAACAGATGAGTCCTTGGCGGTCGTTTTTTAACCAAATATCTTGTTCTTGATGTTGGAGAAGAATCCGGGCTTTTCGGTTTCGGCTTGGACTTCGATTTGCTGGAAGGGAAGAGGAAAATGTAAGAAATTTTATTAAAAAATGGGAATTTATAAAATTATGGAAATTATTAAAAAATAATTAAAAAACAAAAAAATTAAAAAATTCAAAAACGTTAAAAAAATTAAAAACGTTAAAAAAAATTTAAAAATTAAGAAAAAATCTTTCTCTCCTTCTCTGCATCTTTTTCCCTTTATGAATAAATAAAATATTTTTTTAATTAAATATTTGAAAAAAAAAATATTGATAATAAAATCTGTTTTTAAAGATTTTTATTAATTTTTTTAGAGTTTTTTTTTTAAACTGTTCAAAAGAATTTTCAAAATTAAAAAAAGTTTTTGTTTTCAAAATTATTTTTTTCATTCCTTATTCTCTCCCATTCTCCCTCTTTCTCCTTCTTTTAAAAAATAAATTTTTCAAAATATTTTTGCTCTTCCATTTCTCTCTTTCCCCCTATCCCATCTCTTACCTCTTCCCCTTCAATATATCTCTAACTCTCTTTCACCCCATTCTCACTTTCACTCCATTTCTCTCTTCCTTTCTCTCTCCTTAACTATTCAAAAGAATTTTAAAAATATTTATTTATTTTTTTAAGAACATTTTCTTCCTCTTTTCCCCCCACTCTCTCTCATACCCTTTAAAAAATATATTTTTCAAAATAATTTTTGTTTTTCAATTTTTCTTTTTCCCCTTATCAATTTATCTCTCCTTCTTTCTCCCCCTTTGTCAATCTTTTTCTTTTTTCCTTTCTCTCTCTATCCCTTAACTATTCAAAAGATTTATTATTTTTTAGTTAAAAATTAAAATTTTTCTTATTCCTTTATTTTTCTCTTTTTTCCTCTCTTTTTTGCTCTCTCTCTCTCCTCCCTTTTAATAAAATTTTTCTTAAAATATTTTTTTTAATTTTTATCTTTCTCTCTCTTCTCTCTCTCTCTAACTCATCTCATCACCCTCTCACTTTTACTCTATTGCTCTCTCCCACTTTCTCTCTCCATCTTTCTCTTTCCTTTAATTAGACAAAAAAAAACATTTTTTGAAAATTAAAAATTAAAAAAAAAAAAATTTAAAAATTTAAAATATATTTTTCTCAAAATAATTTTTTTTAATTTTTTTCTTCCTCCCTCTTAATTTTTCTCGAACTCTCTTCCTCTCATTTTCACTCTAATGCTCTCTCACACTTTCTCTCTTTGCACTTTCCCTTTCCCTTATTTATTCAAATTTTTGAAAATGAAAAATTTTAAAATATATATTTTTTTCTCAAAATAAATTTTTCTCCTTCCTGTTCTCTCTCCCAACCTCTCTCTTATTCTCCCTCTCTCCTCCCTTAAAAATATATTTTTCTCGAAATATTTTTTTTTCAATTTTTACCTTCCTCCATATTAATTTTTTTCTAACTCTCCTTCCCCCTCTCTCTTTCATCCTATTTCTCACTTCCTTTCTCTCTCTCTCTCTCTTCTCACCTTTCTCTTTCCCTTATTTATTCAAAAAAATTTTTTTTGAAAATTAAAAATAAAAAGAAATTCAAAATATATTTTTTCCTTCCTTTACTCTTTCCCAACCTCTCTCTTATTCCCCCTCTCTCCTCCCTTGAAAATATATTTTTCTCAAAATATTTTTTTTTTAATTTTTATCTTCCTCCCTCTTAGTTTATCTCTAACTTTCATCTTCCTCTCACTTTTACCTATTGCTCTCTCCCACTTTCTCTCTTCCTCTTCCCTTATTTATTCCAAAAAAAATTTTGAAAAATTAAAAATTATTTTTTTTTGCAAAATATTTTTTTCTCCTTCCTTTTCTCTATTCCAGACTCTATCTTTCTCCCACTATCTCCCTCTCCTCTTGCCTCTTAAAAAAAAAATTTCCGAAAATATTTTTTCTTTAATTTTTTCTCTCTCTTCCTCTCAATTTATCTCTAACTCTCATTTTCACCCTCTCCCACCTTCTCCTCTCTCTTTTCTATCTCTCTCTCGCTCCTCCAACTTACCGCTGTGTGCTCAGCCATTACTTGCTTCTCATTCTGTGCCTGCCTGTGGTTGTTGTTGTGATAATAGGGACTCTGATGTGAGGTAAATGTCCCCGTCAGATCTTCCACCTCCACATCCTGTTGCTGTTGTTGCTGGCCAAAATCATTTAATTCCTCAACCTGTTGTTGTTGTCCAAAATCAGCATCGGCCTGCATGCTGTAGTGGCCACCATATCCTGGCCTGGTATATTCATATTCCTTTTTGCTATAACGACTGGCGGAACCACTTCCTCCGCTCATGGCAGTGTTGTAGTGAGAGGAATATTGGCCATTGCCATCATTGTGGAGTTGGGCAGCAGGGGGTGGGTAGAGGGGATCCTTGCCGGCTACACCTGGTTCATTGGGATCCATTTGTTCGTCATAGACATTGGGGGGTTGGTCACCGCGATCTTTGCTAATTTTGGGATAATAGCCGGTGCTGTTGGTGGGCAACTCGCCATAGGCATGGCCACCGGAACCACCATAGCTAAAGGGTAGACGGGCCTGGGCCAGCAGATAAAGACGACGGCGCCATTGTTTCAATTGTTCTCCGCTGAGATTGACCTTGCGTTGCAGGACATTCATGCGAGCCATTTCACTGTGGGCCCAACGATTCTGCTCCTCGGCACTGCTGGTCTTCTTGTGCATGACATAGGTCAAATAGCGTAGCTCCTTTTCACGGAAATCCTGCAATTGATTCAGGTTCATTTGATAGAAATGGGCCAGGTTTATGAGGCGTTCGAACTCCTCCAATTGCCATTCCTTGAGGGTTTGGGTGGTAATGCCATAGTGACTGGCCAGCCGGGTAAATGCGGTCTCCTGTTTCTGCCAATTCTTGAGGTTCTCGAGGGTATAACTTTTGTCCTTGATGAAGGAGTAGAGGCGATCACGTTCGGCCTTTTGCCAGGGTTCCACCTTGAGGAGTTGGGTGCGATCCAATAGGCCTTCGCGGTTCATTTTGCCAATTTCAATGTTTTGGAAGGGCACCAACTCTTCGAGAGAACAGCCATAGATGCGGGTCAGATGTTGCTGGAAGGCATCATCGGAGGCAATGAATTCAAGGAACTCTTCCTCGGTAATGGAGATTTCCGAGGCAATGGCACGAAGGCGGCGCCTTTCCTCATCCTGCCAATTTTTGCCGCTGCCACTGCTGCTTCCGCTGCTGTTCGTGGAGGTTTGGGTGTTGCGAATGAGCCCCAAATTGAGCAGGCGCTGCAGTTCCCGACGTATCCAAATCTCCACCTCTTCGATGGTCACATGATATTGATCACAAATGCGATTCAGGGTGGTTTGATCGCGCAGCAATTCCGACTCCCATTGCGAATAGCTTTGATAGGGTTTCTGTTTGACCAGTTGATAGATGCGATCCTTTTGATCCTTCTGCCATTGGGTGAGATTCTCGGAAACAAGGCGCCGATCGTTGAGCAATTTTTGCAGCTCCAGGCGATACCAGTTAATGATGTCCTCCACATTGAGGTGATACTGGTTGGCCAACTGCTGTAGATGTTGGCGATCATTGAGTAGCTGACGTTCCAGCTCCTCATAGGACCATTGCTGGCCCTGGGGCTGTTGGTTGAGCAATTGCTGGAGGTAGTTGTATTCCACGGTTTCCCATTCCTCCACAGTGGTCTTGCCATGGATGTAACCCTCCTTGGTGAGCTGCTGGGCCACAGACCTCAACCAGGTTTCAATTTCCTCAACGGTAACATGGAACTGGCGGGCATATTGTTCCAAGCGGGGACGTTCGTCACGGAGATATTTTTCAAATTCCTGCCATGACATGGGTCGGCCTTGGGCCACGGCCACCAAATGGGCCTTGGTCTGTTCCTTCCATACCTCTTCGGTGTTGTATTTATCCCAGGTGGAGGGTGTGGCCGGGGTGGCGGGCACATAGCTGGGGTAATTTGTGGTCACATTCCATTGACGATCGACAGTGTGGCTGTAGGTCCCTGGGCCATGAATGACACCCAACATTTGTAGGCGGGCTCCCTCCTGTTCTATCCAGCTTTCAATCTCCTCCACCGTGACATGGTAGTCCTGGGCAATACGTTCCAATCGCTCCTTGTCTCGGCGTATGAAACCATCCAAATCTTCGGCTGTGGTCAGGCTATTCTGTTGCTTCAACCAATCGAGGAGACGTTCACGTTCGATCTTCTGCCAATAGCTAAGCTGTTCCAGCTGTACCAAACCAGAATCCTTGAGACGTTTCAACTCATCCTTCATCCATTGTTCGATTTCCTGGACGGAGAGGTTATAGTCCATGGAGAGCTTTTCAATTCGGGCCCGATCCTTGGCCAATTGACGTTCGAACTCTTCGTTGGAAATCTCCCGTTGCTGCTGGAGGCAGAGGGCAATCAAACGCTTCTGTTCATCCTCCTGCCATTTGCTGAGATTCTCCACTTGGACCTGGCCGGTGGTCTTTAAGTTTAGCAGCTGCTCTCTTAGCCATTGTTCTACCTCTTCGACGCTCACCGAATACTGTTGGGAGAGACGGCGTATGTGATCCTGTTGCTTCTTGAGTTCCACCTCAAACTGGATGTAGTTCAGCTTATTGTTCTCCTTGATGAGCTGCTTGAGCCTTTCCAACTCCTGTTGCTGCCAGGCAGCCAATTTGGCAATCTGATCTGAGGAGTCCTTGCGCAGGCGTTGCAGTTCGCGAATCATCCATTCTTCGATTTCCTTGACACTGACCTGATAATAGTCCGACAACTGTTTCAAGTGGTCGCGATCGTTACGCAACTTCCGCTCATACTCCTCCGTGCTCAGGGAGTTCTTGTACTGCGTAATCAAATTGCGGATATAGTCCCGCTCCACCAATTGCCAGCCCTTAAGCTGTTCAATCTCAAATTTGCCCTTCTCTTTTAGCTCTTCGATGACCTTCTTCACGTAGGTCTCCACTTCGTTGATGTTCACATTGTACTGCTTGGCCAGATTCATGAGGAAGCGACGATCATTCTGGATCTTGGTCTCAAATTCCTCGGCCGTAATGCTCGATTGCTGTTGCAGCAGATTCATTATCCTCTGGTACTGATCCTTTTGCCATTGGGTCATTTTCTCAATATTTAGCTTACCCTGCTGCTGGAGACGATCCACTTCACCTTGGATCCATTTTTCGATTTCCTCCACCGAGACATGGTATTGGAAGGCAGTGTTCTGCATATGTTCCCGATCCTGTTTCAGGACACTCTCAAATTCCTCCACCGACCAGTTTTTGTTCTGTTTCAGCAGGCGATCCAAACGTTCCTTCTCCGCAATCTGCCACGAAGTCAAGTTGTCAATCTGCAGTTGGCCCTCATCGCGCAGACGCGCCAATTCCTTTTTCATCCACGACTCAATTTCCGCCACCTGGACCTGATAATCCCTGGCCAGTTTTTCCAACAGCTCACGATCCTGCCTCAGACGCTGTTCCAATTGTTCCGTCGAGTGATACTGCTCCTGGGTAATACGTTCCAAATAGCGGCGCTCAACCTCCTGCCAATTGGTCAGCTTCTCGTTGGGCTTCAGCAGACCCATGCTAATGAAACGTTGCTCCTCATTCTTTACCCATTCCTCGATTTCCTCAATCTGGACATTATGCTGCATGGCCAGGGCCTCCAGACGCTTGCGATCATCCATTAACCAGGTGTGGAATTGTTCCACCGTGAAATCACGTTCCTTAATCATGTTCGTCAAATTGCCACGCCATTCCAGTTGCCAGCTCTTGAGCTTCTCAATCTCCAGCATACCCTCATCCTGCAGACGTTTGATTTCCTTTTTCAGCCATTCTTCAATTTCCTCCACACGCACCTGATGCTGATTGGCCGTGGCATACAAATGCGTTTGATCCTTTTTCAACTTCTCCTCCAGCTCCTTAATCGAATAGTTATTCTCCTGCAGCAGCTTCATCAAACGCTCGCGTTCAATAGTTTGCCAATTGTTCAACTGCTCCTTGATTTGTATCAAGCCCAGGCTTTGTAGGCGCTCACCCTCCTTTTTAATCCAGGTCTCAATTTCATGAATCTGCACATTATACGTCCTTGCCAAATCGGCCAGTTTGCGACGATCATTCAACAGCTTATTTTCGAATTCTTCAATGGTCACACGATTGTTTTCGATCAACTTGAAGATTTCATTGCGCTCGGCCTTCTGCCATTCTTGGAGATTTTCAGGCTTGACCAAACCCTGGGACTGCAGGCGCATCAATTCGTTTTTAAGCCAATCTTCAATCTCCTTAACCTGGAAAGGGAAGAGGAGAAAAAAAACGGAATTAAAAATGAAGTCCAAACCTATGCTTCCAAAAAAATATGAAAATGGCGCCCAACGTGGAATTGTTGGTTTTCAATGAAAAAAAAAAAATTAAAAATTAGCGACCAAAACCCAAGGAGAAAAAAACTCTTTAAAAATGACATTCAATTGTATTTTTCCAAAAAAAAAAAAATAAATAAATTGGCGCCCAACGTGGGGCACAAGAGCTAAAATTGTTTGGCTTGAAATGAAAAGTAGCTAAAATTTGGCGCCCAATTCTCAATCTCCTTTAACCTGAAAGGGGAGAAAAGCCCTAATTTAAAATGAAAGCCAATAGCATCCTTCAAAAAAAAATGGCGCCCAACGTGAGGTCCAAAGAAACGGAATTGTAGGTTTAAAATAAAAACAAATTGAAATTTGGAGCCCAATCCTCAATCTCCTTAAACCAGATTAAAAATAACGTCCAATCGCATTTTTCCAAAAAAAAATGGCGCCCAACGTGAGGTAAAAGAACCAAAATTTTTTAGTTTAATTTAAAAAAAGGTTAAAATTTGGCACACAATCCTCCATCTCCTTAACCTGGAATAGGAGAAAAAATCAAATTAAAAATGACGCCCAATTGTATTCTCCCAAAAAATGAATATGGCGCCCAACGTAAGGCTCGAGAACTAGATTTGTTGGTTTAAAATAAAGACAAGTTAATATTTGGTGCCCAATCGCCAAGGGGAAGAAAAATCAAATTAGAAATGATGTCCCTTTGTATTCTTTCCAAAAAAAAATGAAAATGGCGCCCAACGTGGGGTACAACGAACTCCAATTGTTGGTTTGAAATGAAGGTAAAATTTGGCCTCCCAAACATAAATCTCCTTAAACCAAAATTGAAAACGAAGTCCAATCGAATTCTTCTAAAAATAAAAAAAGAAGAATATGGCGCCCAACGTGGGTCCAAGAACTAGAGTTATTTCTTTAAAATAAAAAAAGTAAAATTTGGCACCCAATTCTCCATTTCCTTAACCTGGAAGGGGGAAAACCAAATTAAAAATGTATTCTCCCAAAAAAATAAAATAATATGGCGCCCAACGTGAGGCACAAAAACTAGAATTGTTGGTTTGAAATAAAGACAAGTTAATATTTGTTGCCCAATCTCCAAAAAGGGAAGAAAAATCTAATTAAAAATGACGTCCAATTTTATCCTCCCAAAAAAAATGAAAATGGCGCCCAATGTGAGGCACAAGAACCAAATTTTTTTGGTTTAAAATTAAAAAAAGGATACAATTTGGCACCTATTTCTCAATCTCCTTAATCTGGAAGTGGAGAAACCCCAAATTAAAAATGACGTCCAATTGTATTTTTTCAAAAAAATAAAAATTGAATATGGCGCCCAACGTGGGGCTCGAGAACTAGAATTGTTAGTCTGGTATAAAGACAAGTTAATATTTGGTGCCCAATCCTCAATCCCTTTAACCTGGAAGGGGACAAAAACCAAATTAAAAATGTTGTCCAATTGTATTCTTCCAAAAAAAAGAAAACGTGGGTCCAAGAACTACAGTTATTTCTTTAAAATAAAAAAAGTAAAATTTGGCACCCAATCCTCCATCCCCTTAACCTGGAAGGGGAGAAAAACCAAATTAAAAAAGGTTGTCCAATTGTATTCTCCCAAAAAAAAATGAAAATGGCGCCCAACTTGAGGCACAAGAACTAGAATTGTGGGTTTTAAAGGAAAAAAAAAATAAAATTTGCGCCCAGTCCTCAACCTCCTTAAACTGGAAGGGGAGAAAAAACAAATTTTAAATGATGTCCAACTGTATTCTTCCAAAAAATCAATATGGCGCCCAACGTGAGGCACGAGAACTAGAATAGTTGGTTTAAAATGTAAACAAATTAAAATTTGGCACCCAACCCCCAAGAGGGAGAAAAACCTAATTAAAAATGAAGCCCAATTGTGTTCTCCCAAAAAAAAATGAAAATGGCGCCCAACGTGAGGCACAAGGACAACATTTTTTGGTATAAAATCAAAAAAAGGTAAAATTTGGCACCCAATTCTCAATCTCCTTAAACTGGAAGTGGAGAAAAACCAAATCAGAAATGATGTAAAATTGTATTCTTCCGAAAAAGTCAATATGGCGCCCAACGTGAGGCACAAGAACCGAAATTGTTGGCTTAAAATTTAAAAAGTTCAAGTCTGGCGACCAATCCTCAGTCTCCTCAACCAGGAAGGGGAAAAAACCGAATCAGAAATGAAGGCGCCCAACGTGAGGCACGAGAACAAGAATTGTTGGTTTGCAATAAAGACAAGTTAATATTTGGTACCCAATCGCCAAGGGGGAGAAAAATCAAACTAAAAATGACATCCAATTTTATTCTCCCAAAAAAAAATGAAAATGGCGCCCAACGTGGGTAAAGGTAAAAATTGGCCCTCTAAACATTAATCTCCTCAAACCAAAATTAAAAATGACGTCCAAAAATATGACGCCCAACGTGGGTACAAGAACCCAAAATTATTACTTTAAAATGCAAAAGAAATACAATTTGGCGCCCAATCTTGACTTGGAACTGGCGCTCAATTAAAAACCGGAACATAGCTTCCGATGTCTTCACCAAACTGCCGAGTCGTAGAAAATCCAAACTCTGACGCCAAAGAACTGGAAATTCAAAAAAGGATCCTAATGTTTAAACTGTGGTTCTCAAGTGTTGAACCCTTCCCTTACATTGCGGCACCGCTCCTTCTTCGGATAACTAAATTTGAAAGCGGACTCCCAATATTGACAAGGGCGCCGGTTCTCGAGTCCAGTCAACATCTGAACCTAATTAAATATTTTGCCGCCCAATTTAGGATAGATGGACTAGATGCTCAAAAACTAGGGTTGAGCTAAAAAAACTGGCGCCCAACGTGAAAACAAGACCTAGATTTTAAAAAAAATGGCGCCCAATATTGAAATGAGCTCCGCGAGAATTGGCACTCAATCAAAAACTGAAACATAGTTAAATATTTTGGCGTCAAAATTGGAATTTGTTGCGCTAGACTCTCAAAAGCCGGCGTCGAGTTAAAGAAATGGCGCCCAATCGTAAATATTGGCGGCCAATAGAAAAGTGGCGCCCAAGCTAAATTACAGACATCCAATTTTTAATCCAAAATCATAAGAACTGGCGCCCAATTAAAAACCTGGAGTCCAACTTCAGAAGTCTCCCAGTTTTAGACACCGACAACCAAATATTTTTCCCTTTCTTCCCCACACCGACGCTGAATTTAAAAAAAAAAACTGGCGCTCAATCGTAATGGCAAATATTGGCGCCCAATAGAAAAGTGGCGCCAAAAACTTGGATCGAATTAAAAAAATAGAAAAGTAGCGCCAAAAACTGGGGTCGAATTAAAAAAAAAAAACTGGCGCCCAAGGTGAAAAAAAGACCTAGATTTAAAAAATGGCGCCCAATATTGAAATGAACTTCGCGACAATTGGCGCCCAATCAAAAACTGAAACATAGTTAAATATTTTGGCGGCCAAATTGGAATTTGTTGGGCTAGGCTCTCAAAAACCGGCGCTGAGTTAAAAAAATGGCGCCCAATCTTAAATGTTGGCCCAAATCGTAAACTGGCGCCGAATAGTAAAGTGGCGCCCAAGCTAAATTACAGACATCGCATTTTTAACCCAAAATCATAAGAACTGGCGCCCAATTAAAACCTGGAAACCCAACTTCAGAAGTCTTCGCCCAATTTCAGACACTGACAACCAAATGTTGTTACCTTTCTTCCCCACTCCGACGCTGAATTTAAAAAAACTGGCGCCCAATCGTAATTACAAATATTGGCGTCCAATAGAAAAGTGGCGCCAAAAACTGGGGTCGAATTAAAAAAACTGGCGCCCAAGGTGAACACAAGACCTAGATTTAAAAATTGGCGCCCAATATTAAAATGAGCTCCGCGAGAATTGGCGCCCAATCAAAAACTGAAACATAGTTAAATATTTTGGCGTCCAAATTGGAATTTGTTGGGCTAGGCTCTCAAAAGCCGGCGCTGAGTTAAAGAAATGGCGCCCAATCGTAAATATTGGCGCCGAATAGTAAAGTGGCGCCCAAGCTAAATTACAGACATCCTATTTTCACCCAACTTCAGAAGTTTTCACCCAGTTTCAGACACTGAAAAAAAAAAATATTCCCCTTCTACCCCACATTCCCTCTTTTCCCCCTCCCTTTCCCCTCTCTCCCCCTCTCTCCCCCTCCCTCGTTACCCACCTGCACATTGTAATTGGCTGCCAATTGGTTTAAATGACTCTGATCGGCCTTGATTTTCAACTCCAAATCCTGAACGGTGGCACCGCTCTGCTGAACGATCAACATCAAACGTTCGCGCTCCTTCTTCTGCCAGTCTTCCAGTTCCTTTTTAACTTCGCTGAGGAAACCTTCATTTTTCAATTGGCTCATTTCACTCTTCAGCCACGTTTCGATTTCGGCAATTTGCACATGGTACGTGCGAGCCAAGTTCTCCATACGCTGACGATCATTGATGATCTGCGTTTGGAACTCTTCAATGGTTAGGTCATTGCGGGCAATAAGTTTCTTGAGATTTTCATGTTCCCGCAATTGCCATTCCTTGATGCCCTTTTCGATTTGCATTTGTCCTTCGTTCTGGAGGCGCTCCAATTCCTGACGTTGCCATTTCTCCAGCTCATCAATGCTGACATGATATTTGTTGGCCAAATTCTGGAGATACACGCGATCCTTGGCCATTTGTTGGTCAATATCGGTTACGGAACCTTGATGGAGTTTCACCATGTTTTCGAGACGGGCCCTCTCCGATTTTTGCCATTCGGTAATGCGGGTCATTTCCTCACGGGTCTCGGTGATGATGCCACCCAGCCGAGCCAATTCACCCTTCAGCCATTTTTCCATTTCCTCAACATTGCCCTTGTAGACCTTGGAGATGTCCTTGAGCTTCTCCTGATCCATTTTGATGGAGTTATGCAGCTGATCAATGGTGGCATTGTGCTGACGTATCAACTCCTCGAGGCGGGCCTGTTCCGAACTGCGCACAAAATTATCCGTGGGTAAGGCAATCATGGAATTGTTCTGGTCATTGAAATAGACATAGAGGCGATCGAGTTCTTCGATTTGCCAGTTCTTGAGATCCTGCACCGGTATGTGGTATTGGCGGGCCAGCTGATTTAGTTTGTCGGCATTTTCCCGCTGCCAGCGTTCCAATTCATCGCGTGTCACACTGTTCTGATGGATCAGCCAATCGAGGCGGCCACGTTCCTTGCGTTTCCAATCGCTGGGCTCCTCGGTCTGGGAGTTGTACTGGGCCAGCAGAATCTGATAACGTTCCAATTCGGTGCGATGGAATTTCTGGATATCCTCCAGACTGCAGTGATGACGTTCGGCCAAGCCGAGCAGGCGTTCCTCCTGTTGACGTTCCCAGGCCTCAAGGCTGTGGGGTGTGGCATTGCCGGCTGTCAGGAACCAGAAGAAACGTTCACGTTCCTCACGTTTCCAGTCTTCATCGCGTGGCACCGACCACTCGCCGAAGGGGCGTTCCGTGTCATAGACCAATTTGCCATCAACCCATTTCTTGTGGCTCTCGGAACCCGACACCCGGGTGCCGGTGTGATCCTTGATAATGGTCTTGTTGACACGTTGCACAGTCACCGTGGAGCCGGGACCATAACTGGGTCTATAGCCGGTGTTGAAAGTCTCCACATCGGAGCCATAAGTCTCCACGGGAATGTGTACAGGAGGACGGGTATAGGAGCTAGTTTCCAGGTTCACCGAGGGCCTGTAGCCAATGACACTGGGCTCCATGTTCTGATTGGCCCAATCGTAGACTGTCTTCTTGCGTGTCACCGTGGTTGTGGTGCCAGCGGGACCATAGCTTACACCTCCACTTCCCGCCGTGTAACCAGCCCCGCTAGGCACAACATAGGCTCCGGTGTTATAACCCAAATTGGCGGTATTATAAACTCCAGCTGGGCCATTGGCAATGATGGTGCGATTCCTTTTGATCACCGTAACATAGGGATTATCCAGGGTTCCGGTACCCGAACTCTTGTGGGCCTCGGTAACATTTTTGTGCACCACATAGGTCTTGCCATCGATGACCTTAACTTCGGTGGGATAGCTATAGGTTTTGACATCATCGAAACCGCTCAAATCGACCGGTTTGTAACCCAAATCCAAAGTCTGTTGCTGGCCATTATCCACGGCATAGTAGCGATACAAGGCCTCAGCGGATTTCCAATCAAAGAAGTTGGGTTGGGCAATCAATTGATAACTCAAAACACCACTGCGTTTATCGTTCAGCAGCTCCTCGGCCTGCAGGCGGCAAATGGCATCCAGTTCGCCCGAAGTTTTACCCGTCAGGCTAATGATGCGTTCTGAAATCGGAAAAAAAACAAAATTTCGGATTAAAGACATACCCCTCCAAAGTCTCGAAGACTAACTTACCCGACCACGGGGTATAGGTGCTGCTATAACCATGTCCCGAACCCGTTGACATGCTATTGTATTCCTGTCTCAAACGGGCCGAGAATTCTCGTATCTCTGTCAAGTATTGCTGGGCCCAGGAGTTCAGGGCACAACAGGTGCTGTACGAGGCAGAGGATCCGGATGACGAAGATGTCGACGATGAAGTTTGACTCGAGGTATAGGCCGAATTACTGCCACCAAACGAGCAAGAGGTGCCATCACAATGTCGCGAACCATATGATCCAGAATTGTAGCCGGATCCAGAAACATAACCAGAACCATAACCAGATCCTGAACCATAATTCGATGCAGAACCATAACTGGAGCCTGAGTTATAACCCGTTCCCGATGAACCATAGGCATATGAACCACTGCCATAGCTACCCTGCCCCCCATAGGAACTGAGGCGGCCGTAGGCACTGTAACCGGTACTCCATTGTACCAAAGCCACTAGCACTATAAATAGGCTAAGGCCCTTCATTGCGAGTGTGAGTTGGGGTAACTTTTGTGTTATTGGAGAATTCTATTGGATATCTGAAAGGAGAGGGGAGAAAAATGAGAGTGGGGTTTAAAATGTGTTGAGATTGCGGAAAAGTTTTTGAGTTTTGAAATTGGCGCCCAATTTAAAGTGGCGCCTAATTTTTTTTATTAACCCATGGTCTGGTGTTAAGGTGGAATTCATCGGTCCACTCCTTTTGGTACCTCCTCCACAAAAGGTCGAAATTTTCAAAAAATATATTTTTTGCACAGAAGGAGAAAGGATAATCCGATTTGGCTCCAACTTTGCATATCCTAATATTTACGTCAGTGCTAGGGCAGGTGTGAAAATGGACAATATCGGTCCACTCCATCAAGTACCTCCTCCACAAAAGGTCCAAATTTTAAAAAATATATTTTCTGCACAGAAAGAGAAACGATAATCCGATTTGGCTCCAACTTTGCATATCCTAATATTCGTGTCAGCGCTAGGTCAGGTGTGAAAATGGACAATATCGGTCCACTCCATCAAGTACCTCCACCACAAAAGGTCGAAATTTTCAAAAAATATATATTCTGCACAGAAAGGGAAAGGATAATCCGATTTGACTCCAACTTTGCATATCCTAATATTTACGCCAGTGCTAGGTCAGGTGTGAAAATGGACAATATCGGTCCACTCCATCAAGTACCTCCCCCACAAAAGGTCGAATTTTTCAAAAAATATATTTTTTGCACAGAAAGAGAAAGGATAATCCGATTTGGCTCCAACTTTGCATATCCTAATATTCGCGTCAGTGCTAGGTCAGGTGTGAAAATGGACAATATCGGTCCACTCCTTTTGGTACCTCCCCCACAAAGGGTCAAAGTTTTGATTAATTACAACTCTCATAAAATGTGATGTAAAAGTCCGATTGTCTTCAAATTTCACACATCTGAATATTTTTAATAACCCATGGTCTGGTGTGAAGGGGGAATGCATCGGTCCACTCCTTCTGGTACCTCACCTACAAAATATTGAAATTTTTGAGTATCCATGAAGCTTATAAAACGCCAAATTAACATCCGATTCCATTTAGACTTTGCACATCTGTCGCAATATTTATATCATATTTTTGGGTCAAATAGGAAATGGGCCATTCCTTCGGGACCTGCTCCATCTTTTAGGACGACCTATAACTTTAGTTTAAAAATGGGCAGTATAAAAATAATTAAAAATCATATCTTGCGCCCAATTATACTGAAGTATAATAATTTGAAATTTGGCGCCCAAGTGTTGGTTGTTTTTTTTTTTTTTTTTTTGAAAAAAAAATTGTCAAATTTGGCGACTTCTCACTTTAATTTAAAAATGGGCAATATAAAAAAATTTAAAAATCATATCTGGCGTCCAATTATACTGAAGTATAATAATTCGAAATTTGGCGCCCAAATGTTGGTTGTTTTTTTTAAAGAAAATTCTCATTTTGGAGGACCTATAACTTCAATTTAAAAATGGGCAATATATAAAAAAAATTTAAAAATTATATCTGGCGCCCAATTATACTGAAGTATAATAATTTGAAATTTGGCGCCCAAATGTTGGTTGTTTTTTTTTTTTTTTTTTTTTTTTCAAAAAATATATATTCTGCACAGAAAGGGAAAGGATAATCCGATTTGACTCCAACTTTGCATATCCTAATATTTACGCCAGTGCTAGGTCAGGTGTGAAAATGGACAATATCGGTCCACTCCATCAAGTACCTCCCCCACAAAAGGTCGAATTTTTCAAAAAATATATTTTTTGCACAGAAAGAGAAAGGATAATCCGATTTGGCTCCAACTTTGCATATCCTAATATTCGCGTCAGTGCTAGGTCAGGTGTGAAAATGGACAATATCGGTCCACTCCTTTTGGTACCTCCCCCACAAAGGGTCAAAGTTTTGAATAATTACAACTCTCATAAAATGTGATGTAAAAGTCCGATTGTCTTCAAATTTCACACATCTGAATATTTTTAATAACCCATGGTCTGGTGTGAAGGGGGAATGCATCGGTCCACTCCTTCTGGTACCTCCCCCACAAAATATTGAAATTTTTGAGTATCCATGAAGCTTATAAAACGCCAAATTAACATCCGATTCCATTTAGACTTTGCACATCTGTCGCAATATTTATATCATATTTTTGGGTCAAATAGGAAATGGGCAATATTGGCCCATTCCTTCGGGACCTGCTCAACAGAGGGTCAAACGTTTGAATAATCTTAACACTAGTCTAAATTTAATTTTTAATTTTTTTTTTTTTTTTTTTTTTTTTTTTGAAAAAAAAAAAAATTTTAAATGGGCGATCTCTCACATTAATTTAAAAATGGGCAATATAAAAAAAAATAAAAATCATATCTGGCGCCCAATTATACTGAAGTATAATAATTTGAAATTTGGCGCCCAAGTGTTGGTTGTTTTTTTTTCAATCTGGCGCCCAATTATACTGAAGTATAATAATTTGAAATTTGGCGCCCAAATGTTGGTAGTTTTTTTTTTTTTTTTGTTTGAAAAAAAATTCTCATTTTGGACGACCTCTCACTTTAATTTAAAAATGGGCAATATAAAAAAAATGTAAAATCATATCTGGCGCCCAATTATACTGAAGTAAAATAATTTGAAATTTGGCGCCCAAATGGTCCTTTTTTTTTTTTTTTTTTTTTTTTTTGAAAAAAAGATTCTCAAATTGGGCGACCTCTCACTTTAATTTAAAAATGGGCAACATAAAAAAAATTTTTTAAATCATATCTGGCGCCCAATTATACTGAAGTATAATAATTTGAAATTTGGCGCCCAATGTACTTCGTTTTTCTTTAACAAAATTCTCATTTTGACAACCTATAACTTCAATTTAAAAATTGGCAACATTAAAAAAATATATATAAAAATTATATCTGGCGCCCAATGGTGGCTGAAAACCATCATTCAAAAATATGGCGCCCAATTGCAGAAAAAAAAAAAAAAAACATTTTATTTCCAAGAATTTTAAAATTCCCCAAAACAAAAATAAAATCTCCCTCAATTTATGCATCTTGACCCCCAGAATAATAAAAATCTCTATCTATCTATTTTTTTTTTTTTTTTGTAATAATTTTTCAATATTTAATTAATCAATAATTTTTGCAATAAATTGTTAAGAACAAATTGCTTTTTAAGGCGAGGCTCTGTATTAAATTGCGAATTAATTCTAAAAACATCTTCAACGGCAAGGCTAAGATCATTTATCTTCCAGCAAACTTAGAATAAAAAAATTCAAAATTCAAAATAATTTTCAAAAAAAAATAAAATAACATCACGTTTTGAATATTGAATTTATTGAAATTCCATTAGAAATTCAAAAAAAAACATTTGAAGTTTCTCGGTCAAATTCAAAAAAAAATTTCCATTTCCATATCTAAAAATGGAGAACTCAGTATCCAGCCATCTAACACACCTCCCCCAACAATGTCAAATGCCACAAACAACAATAACAAATGACAACAATTAAAAGTGTATTTTTATTGGCTTACAACCAACAACAAGAACAGCAATAAAACCCCAACACTTTCCATGAGATCTTTAGTTTCCAAAAATAAAAATAGCAACAAAAAAAAACAACAACAACAATAAACGTCATAGAACAGAGAGCCAGCGTTCTAATGCAATTTAAATAAATCTACCCATGCTCCCCCCTCCCCTTCCCCTTTCCTTGCCCAACAAAGTGATGCATTCTAAGTGACTGACTTAGTCAGTCACCATCAGCAATGATGACTGCATCCCCAAAGAGATGCAACCGAATTGCTTGTTTTTGTTTTTTGTTTTTTTTTTTTCTCTCATCCGACCACCAAGAAGCCCGAGCCTCAAGGAGGTGGTAGTCTTCTAATCATCATCGCATGAGGTAAACTATTTTTGACACATTTGGAAATTAATTTAGAGTGGCAGAGACATGAAGTGATGTCATGGCACATTAGGAGAATTTCGGAAATTTTTTTTAGGGAGCAGAGGGTGGGAGGTTGGAGCTAGTGGTGTTAGGGAACATATTTTCTTGGTCTAGAAGCTGTCTAATATTTAATATTAGGGGTAAGGGTAATAGACTGAAAAAAACTTGGATTTCCAAATATGGCGCCCAATCATGGATACACATATAAACTTCGACAACTTGAGGTTCTAATGGGGAATGATCGTGATGGAGATTTGTGTAAAATATGACACCCGAATCTGCACCTACAGAAAAATATAAATCTAAAATTCCCAATGTGGGATATATGAAATTGTGGTTTAAAAAAATGGCGCCCAATCAGGGATATGAAGATGAGATTATTTTAATAAACGCCCAATCGTGTAGATCTTAGGCAGAATTTTCTAAAATGGCTCCCGAATCGTGGGTACATGAATTTTGGCGCCCAATAAGGTGTTTTTTTGATGAGATAATTTTAATTGGCGCCCAATCGTGTAAATCTTATGCAGAATTTTCTAAAATGGCTACCAACCACTTGGCGTTTCACCTTGAATATGTGATTGAGTTTTATAAAATATGGCGCCCAAATATGGGCTTAAAAAATATAATTTTGTAAAATTAGGCATCAAATTTTAATTTTTTTTTTACAATTTTTGATCTGGCGCCCAAGCAGGCATAATTCGATGAGATTCTAAGGAATCGATGAGTATGTGATTGAGAATTGTAAAATATGGCGCCCAAATGTGGACGTAAAAAAAATATTTTTTTTTCGAATATGGCGTCTAATGGTGGTTATATGGGCTTGGCGCCCATTTGGAGGTATTGGAATTAAAGTTTTTAAATCTAGCGCCCAATCAGGGGTATTTAGATGAGATTATTTTAATTGGCGCCCAATTGTGTAGATCTTATGCAGAATTTTCTAAATGGCTACCGACCATGGATATATGATATGGCGCCCAAATGTGGACTTAAGAAATATAATTTTGTGAAATTAGGCATCAAATTTTTGGTTTTTAAATTTTTTTATCTGGCACCCAATCCGACTTAATTCGATGAGAATCTCTGTTAAAGATTTGTAAAATATGGCGCCCAAATGTAGA